TTTAGTTCAGAAAGAAGACAAAAGGCTTAGGGGACAACAGAACTTGGAGTTACCAGCCTGAAGTAAAACTAAGGGTAGTTAGAATGGTGGGAGTTGCTGTATTAGAGAGGGTAAACGGCTGAAAAAAGTTCAGTCATTCAGAACTAACTTCAAATGGTGGTAGTTGCATGTGAGAGAAATTGAGATACATTTTTTTTCCTTTTAAGTCTCTTACTACAACTGGAGCGTTTGTGGGACCCAAGCCCGAGGTATTTTCATCATCAAAGCCTGCTAAAGCAGTCTTCTGCCACCCACAATGGCTTCTATTTGTATTGGTGCAATTGTTTTTGAGGCAAAGCAGTGAGCCAGATTGATAATAAATTAGTGCTTGAAATAGACGCTTACCCTTGTCTTTTAAAAATAACCCTGCAGAAGGGGTTTTTATTGGTTTTGCAGTCATGCTAATACAGCTCAGGATAATCCTGTTATCAGTATAACTAAACAGTCTTTTTTGATATTTCTGGGAGAGATCTGGTTATTCATGTGGTAACTGTATCATTGATATGTGGGGTGGAAAAGTGTGCTATTAATTAATATTTCACTAAAGGTATTTCTGTGTCTCACAGATGTATGAAGCAGTTCCAATTTTATTTAATGGTGTTTTTCATAGAAATTTGTAATGGCAACTGTCACAGACACCCAAGTGTACTTACTTCCCCCTTACAAGGAAAAAAGTGAGAGACCTTTTAAATATCACCAATGCATTCTATTCTTTGCTGGTTTTGTAAAGTGGTTCTTTGGTTCCTTTTTGGAAAGTCACTCATTCAGCTTATTTCTGGAAGCACTGATAAGCAAATGAAACTGTGAGAGGACCAAATGGCATAAAATATGTCCTATAATGTATCTGATTTGTGTCATTATGAAAGTTACTTTCTTGTTTCTTTGCAAGTTGCCTGTTTCATCTTTGCTGGCTCGTAATGTCCCTGTGAGTTAGTTTCAGGCAGTATTTGCCATCTTATGTTCCCTGTGAAAGCTTTGTACACATTTTCCATGAGAGGCTGGAGAGCAAGAAAGTTATGTGCAAAATTTGTTCCTCTCTCTGCATGGGAGCAGTTTTGAAAACGTAAATGTTTTTCTCTCGCTGTAAGAGAGAACAGAGAGAGTAACCCTTACCAAATGTACGTCTTGCTCAACACTACGTGCTATAACACAGCAATGACAGCTCTCACATCTCTGGTTACACAAGGCTTCCAAGTCTTAACAGTAATAAAAAAAAAAGTTAAGAAACCTTGTGAATATCAATTCCAGACACTAGTATTCCTCCTTCCCAGTCTTTATATCTTTCTAGTTTATGTGGGCAAGAAATGAGAGGACTAGTAAATGCTGAATGCCCTGTTGGATGATTTGATTGTGTTAAGAAGAGACTCCATTCTGAAATTGTTGGCAGTTAAACTGGGCACAGTGTATAGCGGCCATAATTGTTTTCAGGTAGTTCTTTCTGTACTGAGTTGTTTATGGTCATGTTCTTGATTTTCAACATTATCACCTTAAATCATCAATCATTTGCAACCCAAAAGTTTGAAAACTTGAAAGGGTGTTACTGTTAAGTTGGCTTAAAACTTCTCAAGAAGCAAAATGGTTACAAGCAAACAAAGTAGGTTATTAATATTTGAGAACTTCAGTCAGTAATGTATCTCTTCTTCACTTCCCTTCACCATATGTATCTGTGTCTGGTGTCTTTACGTAACCACCACTAATTGCCTCTTCGATAATCATGCTAATCTTTACCATTTGCCAGAAAAGGCTAATTGCCTACTTGTGTTTTGTGTATACTTGGTGTAGAGGAACAACTGTGTTTTGCTGTAGTTTCCTAATACAAGTGCAAAATCCATATGTTGCTACTAGGTAAAGGAAGCAAGGGCATCCAGATGATTGATGTCTGTTATATGTGAGTCTGTTGATAGCCCAGGGTAGTCAGTAGAGACTAAGGCATGCTGAAGAATTCACTGGCTGTGCTGAAGGTTTACTACAGTAAAGCTACTATAGTTATATTTAATTTGGAGAAGTAATGGTTCCAGTTTTCAGAAAAAACAAACTTCTCAGATCTTGATTTTGAATGTGCTATTGCCTAGAGAACAGCACTGAGAAAACAAGAATTTCTGAAACTTGGAGAAAGGAGTATTTATGAGATGAAGGAACAGGAACAATTCACAATTTTTGCCAAAACAGGATTTGTATTTTAACTGCTTTGTCTTAATAGAATTATTGTATTTTCAGATTGTAAAATGCTGATCATGTGTTTAAAATAAAAATCGCCACATCAGTAACTGGCTCAAGTGCTGCCTTTCAAATAAGCCTACTTTATATAATCTTTGAAATAGCTGGGGTTTTTAGTTTGTTTTTGAGTCACTCCTTCACAGTTGATTTTAAAAAAGCCTTTAAAGAGAATCTACAGGAATTGTTTGGTCTTTCTTGGCATGCTCTGCGCACATATTATAGTTGTATAAAGTTCATTGTTTTCTCACTTTATGATAGCATTTAATTGAGAGTGTGACACTTAAGATTTTATTCTTTCAAATAGTTGATCATCGTGCAAGCGCACAGCTAAATTATGCCTTAAAGCTGTGTAACATTGTCAGGAATGGAAAGGGGGATTCATAGTGCAATTGGAGAGGTCACAGCAGCATTTTGCAAGATCTCTGCTGGTCTGTAGATAAGCTGGTGGCTGTATTCCAGCTGGTTTAGCTGATGCCTGGCTACAGCAGAGGCTGTAGGAAAGAATCTGGCCCACTGTTAGCTGACACTGGCGTAATTGCTCTGCCATTCTTTAGTAAATGCCATTCTTTAAATGGCATTCTCTGTTGGAGAGAAGGAAGATTCTTAGGGGGAGGTAATTTCTCTTTCCTAGAATAACCAATATATTTAGAAAAATAGACAAGAGCTTGGATACATAATCCTTGTATCAGGTCTGAGGAAAAAGCTATGTTACACGTTGGTTAACGTCAGGAGCAGAAGTTCTCTCATCTTTGTTTGGTGTATTAGACCAGAGACATCTGTAGAGACTTGAGCCTTCCTCTGCACACTGCAGCTCAGCTGTTGATGTCGTACTTACTGACACATTTCTTTTACTAGAAACTTTGTGGTAATTTCAGAACTGGCGGTGTTACTTTAAATACACGTTTCATGATCTAATTTAAGAAGTGTTTCTCTTCTGTAGTGCATCCCTTGAGGTGAAAACCTATGTGTGTGTTTATGATCTACTCACAGATGCAAGCTAAATGACTGAATGAGTCTCTGGCCATGGAAAGCAAAGCATTAGGCTATATGATTTATCTTAAACTTGTTTTACATGTATTCATGCTGGTACTTTCTTAGTATAAACATATGCTGAAGGCTTCTCTGTAACAGCTGGGTTTTCTTCTGAGATGGAATAATCATGCAGTGAGCAGGACTGGCATTTGTAAGGTAATCTCATAAGGCTCTATATCTCACCTAAAGCAAATGCGATTACAGTATTCTTAAATCTCCTACATGTGAAGGAGACCTAGATTCAAATAATCTCTTATTAAATCTGATGTCGGTGCATCGATGGATGTAGTATCAGAATTCCTGACTGTACATTTAAAATAGGAAGAAAAATATGTATATTGTGGTAATGTCATCTAAAATCCATTAGACTTAGCTTGATCTAGGAGAGAGCACTTGATCTGAGTTTCAGGATATACATATATAAATAATCATCAGTTGTTTTTTTAATAGCCTATGCTTTTTTTAATTATGTATGATGAGGACATATCTCTGCTGGATACCTTACTGTATAGCAAAAGGCAAAGAAATAAGTTGCAAGAGGATACAGTATAGTTGGTTTCAGGTAAAGCTTAGAAGAAAGTGCTGAGGAGCGTGTTTCCCAGTGTCAGCCCTCTCTGCATTTCTAAAATGTCTGATTAGAATATGCTGACGTTTAAATTAGAGACAGTTTCTTGAGTTTGCCCTTTGCTCAGAGAGACTGTAGTGTTGAGGTCTTCTCTGTCTTCCTTGGACAGTTTAACCGTTCTGTGTGTTCTTTGAGTAGCTGGTTGTTTTAATGTATACTAATTAAACGTTTGTTCCTCTTACGATAATGAGGTCTTGCTATTGGGTAAGAACATAATAACAGCCATGGTGAATCAGGCTGAAGGTGCAGCTACCTAGTCCAGTACCCTTTTTTTGACAGAGGACAGTAGTAGATGTTCTTAGAAGATAAGAATGGAGAAAGAAGGTAGTGATGTGATATTTCCCCACAGTATTTTCCCAGTATCCTTTCTTCTTAGGTTATTCAAAATACCTGTAAATACAACCTTGTAAAAAGATCTTCACAGAATCCCAGAACGGTTGAGATTTCAAAGGACCTCTGGAGGTCATCTAGTCCAAGCCCCCTGCTCAAGCAGGGTCATCTAGAGCAGGCTGCCCAGGACCATGTCCAGATGGCTTTTGTTATTACCACAAGTGGAAAGTCTACAACCTCTCTTGGGCAACCTGCAAAGTAAATTAATTTTATAATGAGACATTACTTAAGTTAAAGAAGTTGTGTACTACCTATTTTTGAACAGACTTCCCAAGACACCATTGTGATAAGTAAGTCTTAAGAGAAAAAGGTGTGCAAGTAAGTTTTCCCAGAGTGTTAAAATAATGGATTGCTTTAAATAGTTAAATAACTATTATTTGAAAGTTAAAATAGTGGATTCCAAATAATACTATAGGAAACATTAATGTTTTTAATCTGAAATGTAATTTAATTCTGATCTAATTTATAACACTGTAGTATAACTATAGGTACAGTGAGACGTGTAAATACTGTTAGATGCTCAGCGTAATAAAATCGATTAGGATTTGATGAGACACATAATCTGAATTTGAGACAAGTTGTACTACCCATCAAAGCAGCTCCTCATATAAAACACTGCATCATGATTTATTTGATATGTTCTTACATGCTGCAATTAATATTTTTTAACTGGACAGTGTTCTTGGATCTTTTTCAGGGTTCAGCTGATCCTTTAAACAGTGCGTTCCACCTGACGTACAACATGGTATTGAACTTGCTTCGAGTAGAGGAAATTAACCCTGAATACATGTTAGAAAAATCTTTCTATCAGTTCCAACATTACAGAACTATTCCAGAAATAGTAGAAAGTAAGTATTACTGTGTGTTGTACTCATGAGAGTCAGTATAAAAGATGCTGCACTGTGAGACTGGGTAGTTATGCTTCATGACACTTGTAACAGTTTATACCTGTGCAGTTCTTGTCTTTCCTGCCAGCAGTTGCTACTGCACCATGTGCCATTATGTTATGGTTCCAGGAAGAGGGATTTCCTCTTGGTCTTAGGATCTATATTGATCTGCACTGTCTATGAAGAGAGCCTTCCTCTCTGAATCAGCCAAGAATGGTTGTTACAGTGCTAAACATTGTAGGACAGGAAAAAGGAAAAACAATTCAAAATTTTTTGCAGCTTGTTAGAGGTGCAGAGAAGAACAGTCTTACTCCTTTTTGATATGCAGAACTTAGCTAAAAGAAACAATGTTAATATCTCATTACAAACTCTAAAAAGAACTCGGGCATACTGCATTCAGAGTAGTATAGGAAAAAATGTTTGATTAAAATACAAAGCAAAACTCAGAGAGCACTGAGATGTTATTTGCACTCCACTGAGTAAACTTTGAGCCATGATCTTTAAATAGTGTGTTTTCATGAGCCAAAACCAGTTTCCAAAGATCTCGGCCAGTGTTTGAGAGTAAGGCCTGTTTTAAAACTTAACTCAGAAGAATCTTAAGAGCACAAGAGGTAACTGCTTCCTTTGCCACTGATGAATGAGCAGTTCATCTGCTCATTTGTTAATTGAATATTAAGAGAGACAGTGTGTGTGTGCCTGTAGCTTTGATAGACATGCGACGGGGGGTTTCACTTCCCTCTGCAGAGTTTCTGTTAGTTTGCAAGTGCAGTGTTTAAGACAGTAGTAGTCAAATATAGTATGTATTTCCTGAGAACCTCCCTGTTCCAGTTGGCATGCCTAGATTTTCATTCTGGCATTCCAGCATTGCTACTTAAATAGAGAAGTGGAGCTTGAGAACATTTTTCATATTTCGTGGAAATTTTTTGTTTAGGCACCATACTGGGCATTAGAATTTTGTAGTTGCTTCAGCTGCAATTAAAAACACAAAGGAGAGAAACGGTTATTTAGGTCAAGGAGGAAATTATGCCATGAATATGGATTGTTTTTTTCTTTAAAAACTTGACAGCTAAAAGTAGGGAGGACTTCCGCGAGCTGCGCCTCAAGTCGCAGTGAAGTGGGATTTCTGAGTCTTCCATATGCATTCCAATAGCATGCAACAGGATGAGTTGGTAGCAAGGAAAAAGAGGCCTTTATAATGTGTCCTTTGTTTATGTTTACTATTATTAGTGTGAGAGAATGAAGCATGTTGCTTATAATAAAAACTGATTTGCCTAAATAAGGTGTAGAAATGTTGGAGGAAGAAAATACTGATTTCCAGCTGATGAAATCAGAGCCTAAAACCAGTTAGGAAGAACATCTTTTAACAGCTTCCTTCTTGTTGGAAGACATCCTGTTAGAAGATGTCTTTGGGCAATCTTGTTTTCATAGGAGGAGGTAGAAGAGTAGTGTAAGGAGTGAATACCCTCCTACAAATCGTTGCATGTTTTTCTGGGACTTTTTTCTGTGCGACCCTAAATCAGTGAATAATTCCTGGACAACTGGGGGTCTAGCCTTCTCTGTTTTCTCAAGTCTGTTTACTAAAAAAAGTAGTAATTTCATATTAATATTTGATTTCCTATAAATAAAATTGGACATGTTTATAGATTTCTAGCTTTCCAGAGAATGTATTACTGTAAATAGAAAGTGAATGCTAAGAATGGTGACAAAATATCAGTTACATAGATCTGAAAGTGAAACATTGATTTCTAAATCTGTGAAGTTACTAATTTCCATGAGATTTCACTTTTTTTTATAGGAGTGAATAATTTGGAAGGACAGTACAATGAAATAGCAATTCCCAATGAAGAAAATGTGGTCATATACTACAAAATCCGACAGCAGCTTGCAAAACTGGGTAAAGAGATTGAAGAATATGTTCACAAACCAAAGTATTGCTTGCCCTTTTTACAGCCAGGAAGACTGGTAAAGGTAATTCGGTTTTTCATGTGTTTTTATTTCAAATCTCTGCCTATCCGTGAAATATGTAGGGTTTATTTGTGTCTGCCAGTTTACCATCTTGAAAAATTACATGCATTGCACTAAGCAACGTTTTTGACTTTTGTTATGTCTCTCTGTTAAACATTCAACAGTTAATTAAAAGAAGTACTGTTTTCATGATGAATGATAGTCCATGACTGCTGTTGTAAATATCAGGAATGCAAAAATATATGCTTGCTAGGATGTGATTATACACGAGTTACATTATAACATCTTTTAATATTTCCAGGTGAAGAATGAAGGTGATGACTTTGGATGGGGAGTGGTTGTTAATTTCTCTAAGAAATCAAATGTTAAGGTAAAGTGCACATTCTCTCCATTAGAAAAATACATGCCTTACTGCTTTTTCTGAAAGTAAGATAAACCTCCTATTTTTCTTAGTTTTCAAGGCAAAATTTTTTTCCTTACACCCCAAATTTACAAAATGCTCAGGCTGTCCTGAAATGAACGTATAAAGAAAAAAAAACGATGAAAGGTGGGACAAACCCTAAGTCCTGTGTTCGTTTTTAAAATTCTGTCATGTTTATGGAGGAAATGCTTGCTTGTGTCTGGGATAAGTAGTTCAAAAGTGCACTTGGCACTACAAACGTTGTTTAGTTTGATTCTGAGATGCCTCCAGCAACTCTACACAAAGCAGTTAATGGGAAAGATACTCTGTTATCTACTCTCGGAAAAGCTGTAGTAGCTGTAAGTGAGGGTTGAGAGCGCAGGGAGACTGACGCTTGGCTCTGCGTAGAAGGTTGTCTTAAACTGGGGAATTGCGTCTTGAGTCCTAGACTAGTGCATGACACATGGGACTGCTTGTCCTCTAAGAGATGTTGCTGTAGAGTTGAGGGTTGGAAAGTTAAAATGCAAAGAGAGCAAAACAAGAGAAATGGGTTCGGGGAATTGTGGAAGAAAATACAGAGGGCAGTGATGCAATAGAAGCCAGATTTGGTTTTCCTTCCAAAAATCCGGTTTTATATTTGGTCTCCACATTACCCCAGAGATGATGTTTTGGTCTCCCTTTCCGCAGTGTTTTGACAGGCAACTCTGCTGGTTAAATTAAAACCTAAGTTTAAAGTGTATTTTTTCTGTGGTAGCATTTTTGCTGTAATTTTGGCAGGAAAGCATTGGCATTAATTACTAGGTTTGAATGAGAAGTTGTCTTTGTCAAGTTCTGGTGGCGCCTGTACATTGTGGCACTTTTTGGTGCTTCTCTAACATATATTCATTAAAGAGGAAATGAGAAAAATGTGTGCATACAGAACTTATTAAAAGTGATGTTGTTTTGGTTTTCCATCTTCCTTTTGAAAGTCACATTTCTTTTTCAAGTTGGAAAACTGGACTGTTACTGGTGTTGCTTAAACTTTTGCTTCTAGACTGCTTTTTTCATAGAGCCACATGAGCAGTAAAATAGATTTCCCCCTCACCCCAGCCCTCTATGTAAAATTGCCAACTTCTGTGTCACTGGAAGCATTTCTTTGTATGTGTCATATTTTATCCACATACATATTTGCCTCCCCTATCTGGCCTGTCTCACTGTTGTATAAAGCCTTTAGGTTTGAACATTAGCTTTGAAATTCACAGCCTGTTCTCCAGGAGATGGCTCTGGCTCCAGCAGCGCTTTTTTCATTAAGTCATTCTGGCAGCTGGGTTGAATTTTTCCTTCTGAGTTCTGCGGAAAGAATGACAATAGGTGCTGAAAGTTATGCAACAGACTTAAAGCTATGTAACTTTCAAAATCAGTATGGAAAGACTAGTTTCTGTGAGCAGAGGCAAAACAAATTACTTACAGAAGCTGTTATTTACCCATTTTAGTGTGTCTATTCAATGCATTTTTGTCCTGGGATACAGATGCGTTTCCCCATTGCTGTTTAATACAGTAGTAGTATACTTACTTAGTATCGGAAATACATCACTATTATGCCATGTCTTTAAACCTTCCTCCACTTCTAAGCTGTGACAGACAGTTCTTTGGATTTGCTTTTAGAAATGATGTAGAATTCAGGCTTGTATTACTAGTTTTTCTTTAGTTGTAAATTTTTTTCACTGTACCATAGTTTCTGATGAAGTCTTTTTTCTAATGAGGAATATATGTGATTAAGATTGACATGTAGGGTTACAGTATGTCTGTATTTCGCTGAGTAATCCTCTTTGTCCGTGGCAATGTGAAAGGAGAAGCATGAGTCATTGTCAGTTACGTTCGTTGTTAATTATATTTAGATGTTTTTCGAGCATAATTTCATGATGCAGTGTTCCACAAAATTGTGAATGCAAATAGCGCTTTATCCCGAATTACAGTAGACAGAAGAATTTTATTTCAAGCAGTGGTGCTTTTATATATTGTATACTATAGAAGGCAGCAGAGTAACAATCTACTTTGGAATTCATAAAAGAACTCCAAATATTTTTGAGTAAGAAACTCTTATTTCCACTAGATTGTGCCAGCAGTATGCTAGTTTTATTGTTGTGCTGTTTATAGTCCATATTGTCATCTGATCCCTGATTCTGGACATCGAATTTTTGTCTGTAACTGTTACTGATATTAAAATATGAGATGCTACAATTTGGTCTTCCTTGTTTAGATTATTATAATCCTTGTCTATTAAATTTACGTACTTTTCTGTTCATGTTTATGTTTACTGCATAAACATCGTTTTTAGTGCTGTGTCATGGTAGTTGAATTTTCAGTGAGTCTGATGGTATTAATCTGGGGATCTGAATTTGTTATCTGTGCCATATTTCTTGAGTGCAGATATGATCAGCTGTCTTACCTTTTTTTGTTTGCAGGCACATGAAGTAATAGATGTTTCAGGGCAAACCTAGATTCCTTGGAGTACACCCAGTCATGCAATATTCTGCCAAAGAGGGTAGAATTTTATCCGTGAAGCATGTGAATTGATGCAGCATGAATCAAAGGATCATTCAAAAACTTGACATGACAGAAATGTCTGTGGCTATCAAATTTTTGCAGAGTGTTCTAGTCTCCTTTCACTGCTGCATATAAAAACATGGCTGTTCCTGTTCAAGGGTTTGGTACCTAAAATGTAGAAAAACCATTGAAGAAACAGTACACGTTCAAAAAGCAGTTCTAGGTTAAGTCTCGTCTGGTCAGCATTGTTTAAAAAAGCCATCGGTATATGTAGACTTACAGAGTAATATTAACAGCAGATGTTAATGACATTTCTAATCCTGCTTCATTAACAGGTTTACAGTACAGTAGCTGATAGAAATTTTTTTTTTTCCTCTCATGATTTTCTACACATATCCAATCCCAGTATTTTCTGTAGCATGTATGTGCAGCTATGAGCGTAGTCTGTTCTTTGTTCAAGTCAGCATTATGCTTTCCGTGGCTCTGGCTGGATACTGATTTGGTACAGGTGGACATTATTTTAAAATTCTGATGCAGAGAACAGCAGTGGTATGGGTCTTGTCCATTGCTGTGAGTCCTTTCTGCAAATGTAGGATAGAATTCAGAGGAACAGTTTCTTGCTCAGCAAGTACTTGCAATTCTTGAAGAAATTACATATCTTGTAGAACAGGATAACCCTGTTTTTCTGTTTAGTTTACTATGGCAGTTTCTCTTAGTACTTCTGAGAATCTCTTAGAAAGGCTAGGTGGCTCCAGCCTGCTTTGCATGCAGTGAAAGAAAATAGTACATTGTGGATTTGTAGTGAAAAATACTGCCCAGTAATACGGAGATGAGTTAA